CAAAGAATGTGGATCGATTTGGTTTTTAAAAAGTGATCGCTGTGCGCGTGGCCTAAATAAAAAGTATTCTGACAAAAACATTTCTTTTTATGTCTTTTTTTTTTTTTTATTTAATAAAAGTTATCATGTTGAAACATGGACTGTTTTGCACTATATCAATGATAGATGAATTTTTTTTACAGTTAATCCATATATATATATATATGGGTTAACTGTAAAAAAAATTCATCTATCATTGATATAGTGCAAAACAGTCCATGTGTGGTATAAACCCTCCTTATACTATTAATTTGGTGTAATTATCTCCTGTTTGCATAAAAATATAATAACCCTCTCTTTAATATAAATAAAATAATATTAAAAAAATTAGGCAATGTAATATTATCATTTTAGATAATTTATTCTTTTCTTTTTTCCTCTTTTTTTTTTCCTTTTTTTTTTTTTTTTTTTTTTTGGTCACAATACTTGCATGATTTTGGAGAAGAAAGGGATTAGTTACGTAGCTCAAACAGTGATTTACACATTATCAAGGAAGCATTAGATTTCAACAAGATTTATGTCAGGAACTGTCATTCAATTTTTTTTTTTGATGGATTGATTGAGTATTGACACTCCTGACTGTTTATTGGAACATAATTGATTTGAAGGCTCTCCATTACCAGGTCAAACCAATATATCTTATAGATATAGATGGCATGATTAAAGGCGTGGCTGCCACTTCAGTCAAACTTTGCTGGTTATTAATTAGAAGGGATGCCCTTGCAATTAAATGAAATTTAGTAATGTCTAAAATCATATTTAAATGAGTATTTTGTGATCGCTTTTCTGAATGTACCTTTTAACTGTGAAGAAGAATCATGAATTTTCAAGTTACATTTTTGGTAGATAACAGTCTCAATTTAACTATGCTTTAACCTTGATAAAGAATTATTGGTTAGGAACCTTTGGATGTATACAGCTTTAACTAGCGACACATTTCTCTTTGATAATGTGTAAATTGTTCAACAAAGCAGAATAAGAAAATTGTGACCATGCGGGTTCCTTCTAGATCTTCATCCCCTCTTTGTACAGTGGTTAATTAGAAATTAAGTACTTAAACAATTAAGGAGACACCGGATTAATTAAATTTAGTACATCAAAGGTGCCATCTACTCTGTTGGGGTGTACCGGAAACCAGGGATCATGTCCAGCCTTAACAAGTGCCACCTGGGGGCCATGCGGTAGAAGGGGGAGGAGGGTTTGATGATTGTGGTTGATTAGGTATGGGTGTACGGGGGAGGGGTTTTGACCTCAGACAGAAAGTGGTGGTGGTGGTGGGGTTGGGGATGGTGGTGATGGTGGTGGAGTGTAGGAGGGAAGAGTAGAATAGGAAAAGAAAAAGATAAAATAAGCAATTTTGATCAAAAAGTAATCAGACAGACTTATTTGTATCTTTTTTAAATTTTATAAACTGAAATGTAAATTTTAAAAAAGTAAAGAATATTTTTGCACAAACTATTCTGACAAACACATTTCTCTTTATGTCCTTTTTTTTTTTTTTTTTTTTTTTTTATAATAAAAGTTATTATGTAATTCACATAATTTCTTGTATTGATTTCTACGAATTTGGAAGTAGATTGTTTTGGCTTGCTCTTGGCTAATTAAATTGCCAATATCATGACTGAAACCAAATTAGTCGACAAAGAATGTCCTATGGGATTAAATATATTTTTGTTATTGTTGATTATATGTTCAAATGGGTGGAGGTCAGTGCAACCAAAACATGCGATCACTCGATTGAATCTATTTGGTTTTTATTAGAGTGATAGCTGTGTGTAGCCTAAATAAAAATTATTCTCACAAACACATTTCGCTTTATGTCCTTTTTTTATTTAATAAAAGTTATCATGTTGATATATATATATATATATATATAGTAGTTTTTAACAGCTCTCTAATAAGCAGAAAAAAGTATACTCACTTTTAATTATAGTCTTGAGATTAAAACCGACGGCAATGAGTCAATTAACCATTTTTTTTTTCTCTATTTGAAGAAACTTACTCATTTTTTTCATTATCATTAAATATAATTAAAATAAAATGACAAAACTAGACCATTTACTAAAGAAAGAAAGAAAAGAAAGAAAGAAAGAAAGAATTTGGCTACTCCTTTGCCTTTTTGATTTTCTGCCATCTCTATTGGAGCAGTGAAAAAAAACTTTGTAAAGATTTTAATCTATCACAAATTTCATATAGAAGAAACGTTATGAGAAAACATGACAACAACTGGTAAAGCAAAAGCTAAAGCTTTACCATCGATTTGCTAAAGCTTCGTGGGGCTGGTGTTTTTCCTCAATAATTTTTATATTTTCATCTTGTATTAATAAAAAATTTAAACTGCCCCACACTTGCCCTCCCCTAGTTCTTTTTATATTTTCATTTTGTATGTATTAAAATTATAAAACTACTCGTTGTTTATGATTTCTAAAATTTTAATCAGCCCATCTTTTCAGTAACATTCTTTTGTCATGTTCTTTTCTTCTTCTTTTTCCCTGTTTCTCCCATACAAATTTCATGATTGCTTAAAGTCTTAAATAAACAATTTTCAAAAAATTTATAGGAACTCCTCCCCGTGAGAATGGAGATGGCAAACTGGAACAATGAACAACATGGTATGATATTGTCGGCTTTGGGCCTGAGCTCGCAAGGTTTTGTTCTTGGGTTTTACCCCAAAAGACCTCGTACCAATTGAAAATAATACCACCACATATAAGCACTTTATCTTTCCCTTACCCAGGCGATGTGGGATTGTGCACTAGTAGCTCGCTCAGTGTGGTGGTATGCCAGTGTCTCGTACCCGCCCACAAGGTCCCTACAATCACCCCCCATTTGGAGCCCAAGGTTCTTGTTGGCCACACTTTCGGCTGGGTCAGACTCTGATACCATTTGTAATGGGCCACTCCACCACATGGTATGATATTGTCCGTTTTTAGGCCTGAGCCCGCACGATTTTACTCTTAGGTTTTACCCAAAAGGCCTTATACCAATTGGAGATAACACCACCACATATAAGCGCTTTACCTTTCTTTAACCCAGACGATGTGGGATTGTGCATTGTGGTGACCTTGGGCGGGTGCGAGATATATTGGGCGAGTTACGGTTGCACAATCCCACATTACCTGGGTAAGGGAAAGGTAAAGTACTTATATGTGTTGGTGTTATCTCCAATTGGAATGAGACCTTTTGGGGATAAAACTCAAGAGTAAAATCGTGCGGGCTCAAGACTAAAGCGGACAATATCATACCATACGGTGGAGTGAGTTGTTACAGGTATTAAAAAAAAAATGATAAGTTCCTTTAAATAAGGAAAAAAAATGGCTCATTAACTTATGTTTTTTTTGCTCACCAATGAGCCGTTGAACACTACTATATATATATATATATATATATATATATAAGTTAAAGAAGTTTCTTAATTTCTCAAAAAAAAAAAAAAAAAAATAATAATAATAATAAATAAAAAAGTTTCTCACTTTAATAGTCAGCATGATCAAGTTATGCCCAGGCTTTACAAGGAAAGAGGCCAGAAGCCCAAAATACTGGAAGGAAAAATAAATAAATAAAAGCCCAATACAGCCCGAAGAGAAACCAGGCGGGGAGGCCTTGGCCAAAAACACACCATACCTACCTTACCTATTGGGAAATGGTGATATTTTATATATTTTATGGTATTTAGTTGTAAAATATTTAAGAAAAAAATAATATTAAAATTTAATAAAAATAATTTATTCATCAATTTTTGACAAATTATTACAATGACTCGACTTTAACTCAATCTAAACTTTTACCAAATACCTAAAAATAAAATTAAAAGAAAATATTTCACAGCCTTAGATTGTTTTCAAATAATTATAAAAAAAAACAGTTATAACTAAAGTTTTAAAAAATCTGAACCTAAATGTATTATATTTGGCAGCACCAAATTTTATATCTTAAATTTGTAATTGGAGGAAATATAATTTAAACTTTGAATTGAATTTTTTTTTTTAAATGTCATGTGGGAAAAAAATTAGGATCGTGCGTAGGAAGGCTCTCTGTCGCTTATTTTCTTTGTTCAGATGATGACAAAACAGTCTTGTATATATATGAATTAATAAAAAGGAAAAAAGAAAAAAAGGACATGAAAGTCTTTACAGATGTCGTCGACTGTTGGAAAGATGGCGGTCCAGTTGTTCCTAAAGTTGAGTCATTAGCAATTAATGACTTTGAACAACTTCCCTAATATTTTTTTTTGGGTAAGTCTTCAATAATATTTATTGTGAATAGTTGAAGGAAATTAAGTAGGGATGGAAGAAAAATGTGGAGGGAGACAATAAGATGGAGAGGAAAAAGAGAACAAAGGGAAAGAATGAATGGGGTTCTCCTTGTGAGGATCACGAAATATAGATTTAGGTTTAGGAAAATTTATGGTAATTGCTATGGTTGTTATATTGACTAAAATTGAGGCTGGCTTAAATGTTTAGTTGTTGTATATGAACATGCTTATTTTTGTTGCAGTCAATTAGATGTAAGATTATTATTCTCATCACATATTATATATTATGAGATTGAACTAAGGCGGATTTAAGGGTGGGCGAAACTGGGCTTTAGCCCATTCCTCTCTCTCTCTCTCTCTCTATATATATATATATATATATATATATTTTTTTTTTTTTTATCATACTACTTTAAGCCCAGTAAAAAAAAAAATTAATAATAAATAATAATGGTAACTCAGTCCAAAATTAACTCACCCCATTCAGAAATGCTGAATCCACTCTTGGATTAAACCCAGGTAATAAATTCTAAAAAATCTGTTGGAGATTGAAATAAGGATTTTTGCTTCGTCACCAATATGTCCAATTGTAATACGTGTAAATTGTGTTTGTGTGAATGTCTTTGCCGTTCATTATTTTTTTGATAATGCATCAACAATTATATGAAACAAAAGAAGTCCCGCTCGTTAATAAATGCCAAAGATATATATCACACAAACTGTAGTAATAAATAAAATTAAATCAATTTGTATCACATATTATTGTTGGGTAGGGACACCCGATTAAAGGCCCCCGCCAAATGACTTTTGTGCATCTCTGATTGTCTTATGCTCTCTATTCAACTTAATCCACTTTTACATGAAAGACACTTGGTAAAATATATGTTCAGTGGCGTCTTTGTTTAAACATTTGAAGAAGGAAAAAAAAACACAAAGAAGAAGAAAAATCTATAGCGACCCGAGTTAGGCCGAGTTGATGACCCAGTGTTCTCCGTCGACCTGGACTCGGAGACTATTGACTCGGGCAAACAAATTCACAGCTCTTCTAACACCTTTATTATCAGCTGCAGTGAAATAGTCGTGCCCAAAAATAACTCCACCTGGTCTTAATATCTTATAAGCTCGGTTTATGTCCATCCAGGCAGAGTGAAAGTCGTGACCCGCGTCCACTTCAATTAAATCTCCAAACACGCCCCAACTGCACAGCATCTGCAGAGTTGACCCGGACGAATACGGCAAGAACAACACTGACTCGGTTGCGTTTGAGTGCACCACGTTTTGCATGAACTGGTACAGAAGCATTACGTCACCGTTTACCATCTTTATATCTTTGAATCGGTCACGAAACCCGGGCCACCCCCGAAAATCGTCCACGCATATAATCTGAGTTTTGAGGCCGAGTCCACTCGCCAACTCGGCCATGTGAATCGCTGACGCCCCCAAGAACGTGCCCACCTCAATTATGGTCTTGGGTTGGACTTTGCTGATTAGGTTCTTGAAGACGGCGCCGTACGAGCCCCACCCTTTGATTCTCTTCTGACGGAGGAGGGGGATAACGTGCGCCGGGGGGAAATTGTCGTACGGGGACGTGCCGTTGAACACTCGGTCAAGAATCGTTTGGCGCACGAGCTTGGAAGGAACTGGGTCGGCGCAAAAAGTCTCGAAACGGTAGTGGTCGCGGTCGCCTGCGGTGTTGGTGGCGGCGTTGTTAGTACTGAACGTGTTTTGGGAAATTATTGGAGTCGGAGAGTGAGGTGATGACTCAGGGGATGAAGCGGATAAGTAACCCAAGGTGTAGGATAGGAGGAGGAGGATAAAGTACGCAGTGGGCTTGGTGAGCTTCTTGAGGGAAAAAGCAGTGGCCTTTCTTTGGTGGTGGTGGAGTGGTTCTTGCTTGTCTTCTTTCATGTTTCTGCTTCTTGTTTTTCTTTTAAAAAATAAGTCTTTGGCTTTTTAGAGAGAGAAAGAGAGATAAAGCTTTGTCATGGAATATGAAACCTCGGAAAAGGATTTTATCCCACCATGAAAGATCACAATATGGTTGAGTTGGTTGCGTGTTTGCTACACAGCGGGTCTACGAAAATGACCGGAAAATTAGAGAGAGAGATATGAGGTTAAATTACATTTTAAACCCTTGAAGATTGTTATAATTACACTTGGTGTTTGAAAATGGACCTAATTATAAAGTCATCCCTCAGGTTTGTCGCTTTCCATAACTACCTCCCTCCCGTTAATTACCTATCGATAGAGTCAGAAAATTCTGATACTATATAATATATAAACGCTCCCCTGACTAAAAAGACATAAATAACACATTGAAATTCATAAAATTCCAATGAGACCTGTCATCCTTCTCTTCCCCCCTCCCTTTCTCTCTTTTTCCCATAGGTACAAGATCGATTTCTCTTTCTGTCTCATGACTCTCATCCATACCTGTTTCTACATCCGAGCCGGAGGCTCGGACTATTTGTCCATTTGGTCCATGAAGAGGGGCTTTACAATAATCTCTATCAAAATTGAATGCTCCCAGCATACTTTTGAAAGAAATTTTTTTGAATGGACCACCACTTAGGGCTGTAATTCGGACGTGTTCGGCGAGTTTGAGGTATAACTTAAGCACAATTCACTATATAAAATGCTAAATCCAAACCCAACCCTAACCCTATTATCAACCTTAATTATTCAACCCAAGCCCAACTTATCCTTTTACTTTTAAATTCGGGTTTGCAACTCAAACTTAAATTCCGAATAAAAATTTCGGATTAATTCGGGTTACTCAAATGGCTAATCCTTACAAGGAAAATTTAATATTATCTTGAATTAGTTTTAGATTAAATTTCTCTTTATGAATAAAAATTGTTTTGTAGATTTTTAATAAATTGCAAACAAATTTTTAAAAAATTAATTCTCCTAAAGGTTAACATACAATAAGTTAAGATTTAACAAAAAAAGTTGAAATGAAAAAAAATAATCATAGTTAAAATATTATATATAATGTATTTAAAAATAAATATATATATGAAAATAATATTAGAATTCGGGTTCGGATTGGCTCGGGTTTCTAGCATTTCAACCTAAGCCCAACCCTAATTAAATTCGGGTTGAGATTTTTCAACCCAAACCCAAATCCTAATTGTAAAAATAATTACTCAAGCCCGTGAAAAATCGGGCTGAGCTCGAGTTGAGTTTGGATTATCCAACCCAAGTTACACCCCTACCACCATCCGGTACGTTACATGTAGAGCCCAATCATATAGGAATAGAATCAGAGTCAAAAAATTGGTGGTCAAACAAGTAATATAAAATTAAAATTTAAAAATAAAACAAAATAATTGTAAAGATTATTTATTTATTTATTTATTCTTCTCCCTAATTCATAACAAATAATAGATATATATGTGTATATATATATCCCACATTTTGTAAAAATGATTACAAAAATAATTAACATTTTTTTTTTTTTTTTTGTGGTAAATTTATTTTTATAAAGTAAGAGGTTCATTGGAATTTAAAGGAACTAAAAGTAAATTCATTTGCAAATCACCTTTAATATCCACAATGTAACTATAAATAGAAAATTATCAAAATTTGGAGGGGTAAACTTTATTTTTTTTTAATAAAAAATCACTATTAATGCTCCTCCCTCCCAAAAAAAAAAAAAAAAAATCCACCTTTTCATTTTTAGTTGTCCCAAAATAAATGTCCCAATTAAAAAGTTAATGTACTTTTTTTTTTTTTTTTGTAACATTACTAAAAAAACCTTCTTATATTAAATTTATAAAAATAAATTAACACATCATTATGGACCCATTATCAGTAAATTAATAATTTTTTTACTATTAATACAATAAAAAATACTAAAAGTCATTATCGGAAAGGAACAATTTTTTGTATGGCCAATGAAATACTAAAATATAATACATTATAAGCCAAAGAAAAAATCATTCTCCTCACCCACTCTCGCTCTTAAGATTCTCTCGCTAATATATTCTCTCTTATGTCTCACATCCCCATTTCTCTCTTTCTCCCTAAGATTCTCTCTTATAATATCAATTAATTGATTGGTTATGATTTCAAATGACTATTTTAGCCATTGCATTGAAGGTGTTATTATCCAATACTAATTAGATGCTCGTTTTTTCATTGTTTAATCTATGGGTAGCATTTTTCAAAGTTTGAAAATTAAATTAAATTTGAAAAAAAATAAAATAAAAAATATATGCATTAAACTTGAAGCTATAGAGTTTTTGGGAAGGAAAAAATTAATTGTGCCAAGGAGTGGAAATTAATACTCCGTACATTCTTTTCTTAAAACCCCAGAACTGTGCAAGTTTTAGATTAACAATTAGTCCATTAAATTGGGTAAGAATTAGGTCAGCCCAGTGGATATAACTGAAGCCCAACCGCTAGCCCATTTAATGTTTTGAATTTTATTGAAAAAATAAGAAAATTACAAATGGCTTCATGAATGGTGGTCCTACCAGTATGCTCTTAATTAGGCCCAATAACTTGCATTAAATATATTTTTTTCAAAAACTATTTCAAAGCCCGAATGCATGTTTTGTGGAATAAACTTAGAAGTAGTGATATTTACATCGATTTGTTGCAGTTAAATTGCATTAATTATTTATATAAAATATAAGTACGTGGAGGACTCTATTTTTTTGTTTTTAAAAAAAAAAGTAAATTTGACAATTCACTATAACAAATAGGTGTAAAAATTAATTTCCTAAACTGTACGAGTAAAGCGTGAATACATGATTCGGATTACAGTAATGGACTGGGTTTTATAAATCAGGCAGTCTTTACAAATGGGTAAACCCATACGAACTTCGATATATTGGTTTGAATTGGGAAAACTATAATTTCATTTAACAAAATAATCTATTTAAAAAATTATTTTTCACTTTAGTTGAAATTGAGAAAAATAATTACATATCCATTAAAAATCATTATTGATGTCTAAATTACCCTCCAAATTCTTTTTTCGAAAATACCATCCATAAATCAAATAATTCTAAGAGCATTATCTTCTCACTCACACAGAGCACTTTCTTAAATTCATTATGGCCGCAACATTAATCAAACATCCAAAATTTCTCAATTTTGCCATTGCAGATTTGCCAAGCTCCAACCACTCGTTTCGTCTCATCATGGCCTCTTCTACTAAGCAGGTCTCTATCTAATACATTACTCTATGATTAACACCTTTTCCCAAGACTATCTACTTATATAATGAATGATTTTTGTTTGGGCCATAATTAATTAATATATGTATTTTTCTTGAATTTGTTTTTGTCAATCTGATGAAACTAGACTATGAAATTTTTTACTCCAATAAAGATGAAACTAGACTAAAAAATACAGTAAGATTTTTTTTTCACAAAAAGAAAAAAGGAAGAAAAGAGGGAATCGGATAGAAAGAAAGAAAACGGGTCATTACGGGTTGACCGAATCTATTTTTAACCCGTTGTAAATGAGTTGAATATTGATTATAATTTATATTTAATTCAGTCAAAACCGGACCTAACTTGTCCATTTGTAACCCCTAGTTTATGGTATGGCCGTTGTATAACTTAAATTCAGTCAAATTTTACTTGGTTGTAACTTAGTTGAATTTTTTGTCTGTCTAAGGTATAAATGAAAATAAAAAAACTGCCTATATGGGGTTTTTGCGTCATGAGGAATATGTCCTTACTGCTCCATTTAGGGCAAGTGTAAATCATCTTTGATATATCATACTACTATATTTCATTAATGCATCAACTATATCAAACAAAACAAACTGTCTCTTAAATGTTAATAAACCACAAGATCACACAAATTGTAGAATAAAAAAAATGATTTATCATATTATTATTGCTGCCTAGCGCACCCAAACGCCACTGCTTCAGAAATGACAGTCAATTACTTCATACTGTAAAACTTAAATGGACTTTAAATAAAAGAAACTTGGAGAATACGTACTACTAATATATGAAACATTTATACCGGATTAAACCGACCCGAGTTAGGCTGAGTCAAAACCGGACCTAACTTGTCCATTTGTCACTCCTAATTTATGGTATGGTCATTATATAACTCAAATTCAGTCAAATTTTACTTGGTTGTAACTTAGTTGAATATTTTGTCTAAAGGTATAAATGAAAATAAAAAAACTGCCAATATGGGTTTTTGCGTCACGAGGAATATGTCCTTAATGCTCCATTTAGGGCAAGTGTGAATCATCTTTGATATATCACACCACTATATTAAATTAACGCATCAACTATTTCAAACAAAAGAAACTGTCTATATTCACCTTTCAAAAAAAAAAAAAAAAGAAACTGTCTGTTAAATGTTAATAAACCACAAGATCACACAAATTGTAGAATAAAAAATATGATTTATCATATTATTATTGCTGCCTAGGGCACCCAAACGCCACTGCTTCAGAAATGACCGTCAATTACTTAATACTGTAAAACATAAATGGACTTCAAATGAAAGAAACTTGGAGAATACTATTAATATATGAAACATTTATACCCGATTAAACCGACCCGAGTTAGGCCGAGTCGATGACCCAGTGTTCCCCGTCGGCTTGGACTCGGAGACTATTGACTCGGGCAAACAAATTCACAGCTCTTCTAACACCTCTGTTATCAGCCCGATTGAAATAGTCGTGGCCAAACATAACTCCACCGGGTCTTAAAATCTTATAAGCTCGGTTTATGTCTATCCAGGCCGAGTGAAAGTCATGACCCGCGTCCACTTCAATTAAATCACCAAACACGCCCCAATTGCACAGCATCTCTAGAGTTGACCCAGTCGAAAACGGCACGAACAACACTGACTCGGTTGCGTTCACGTGCACCACGTTTTGCATAAATTGGTGCAGGAGCAATACGTCGCCGTTTAACATCCCTATATCCTGGAACCGGTCACGAAACCCGGGCCACCCCCGAAAATCGTCCAAGCATATAACCTGAGTTTTGAGGCCGAGTCCACTCGCCAACCCGGCCATGTGAATCGCTGACGCGCCCAAGAACGTGCCCACCTCAATTATGGTCTTGGGTTTGACTTTACGGATAAGGTTCTCGAAAACGGCGCCGTACGAGCCCCACCCTTTGATTCTCTTCTGACGGAGGAGGGGGCTAACGTGCGCCGGGGGAAAACTGTCGTACGGGGACGTGCCATTGAACACTCGGTCAAGAATCGTTTGTCGCACGAGCTTTGAAGGAACTGGGTCAGCGCAACGAGTCGGAAAAAGATAGTGGTCGAGGTCCCTGGCGGGGGCGCTGACGGTGGCGGTGGCAGTGGCAGTGTTGGTTGCGGCGTTGTCAGTACTCAAAGTGTTTTGGGCAAATATTGGGGTAGGAGAGTGGGGTGAAGACTTGGAGGATGGAGCGGATAAGTAACCCAAGGTGTAGGATAGGAGGAGGAGGATAAAATACGCTGTCGGTTTGGTGAACTTATTGCGGGAAAAAGTGGTGGCCTTTTTTTTGTGGTGGTGGTGGTGGAGTGATTCTTGCTGGTCTTCTTTCATGTTTCTTCTTGCTTTTCTTTTACAGTTCAGTCTTTGGCATTTGAGAGAGAAGCTTTGTTATGGAATATGGAACGAATTTTAGATAGAGAAAGAGAGATAAAAAGAGAGAGAAGCTTTGTCATGGTATAAGAAACGTTGGAAGGGGATTTTATCCTGTGCACACCATGAACGATCACCATTAGTCGGAGTTTGTTGTGTGTTTACTACACAGCGGGTTTATGAAAACGACCGAAAAATTATATTATATATATATATATATATCCATATATTAAGTATATTAAAGTTAGGGCGTTAAGTGGATAAAACTTAAGCACACAATGCATCTCTCCTTATTTCAATCTTTAATATTAAAAAATTGACATAAAATAAATTTAAAAATTTTAATTTGTCCTTGTCTCTTCCTATTATACCTTTTCTAAGAGACTCTGCTTCTCTCTTACGCCCCCTCACCACAACCAGTGGTGCAACGCATTCACCACCAAAATCGACGGTAGTTACTATCAGAAATTTCCCTTTCTTTTTCTTAATTACCAAAATCTTTTTTCCTAATACAAGTTAACTAATTTTCTTTTTCTTAACTTCGTAATACAAGTTAACTAATTTTCAATTGTCTTGTTAAAACGTTTAAAATATATTTATCATCCATTGTCAGCAACAGAGAGGCACATCTCACAATTCGGTCATATCATTTTAAGAAACAATTTTGACTTGAAGACTTCCATTTATATATATATATATATATATATATATATATATATGTATTTATTTATTTATTTGTGATATACTAATAATTTATGCTGACACACATACATACCAATACATGATTACTATTTTATTTTATTTTTATTGTAATTTTTTATAAGGTAATAATCACATGATGAATATATGATGTGTACAAAAAAAAAATATAAACTTAATTGATCAAAAATGAAAGACAGAAAATTAATCAATATTATATAGATATAGATTTTGCATCATACCTAATCTTATTTTGATGTGATGGCAGCAGATGCCTTATGAATGGAATAATCATGGCTTAGCATATTCATACATGCCATCTACTAATTAATTATTTTTTTTGGTTTTGTTTGGCTTCAGTTGGAATAAAGTAGAGCCCCACATGATGCTCTAAAGCGAATTTCAACCGATATCTGTTAGTTTCAAGAACAAATTGATTTTCTTCTTTGAATTTGAAATTTTTTTAACTTACTCACCTTCTTCATGAGCATTGCTTTGTTCCTCATCCTTTTCCTTTTTACTTTTGTAGGTATGTTTCCACCTGTTCAATATATATATTATTATTAGCTTTTAATTGTAATTCCCTCACTTTTTAAAAAACAAAAAAAAATTGAGATTCAAGATTAATGAATTATAGGCAAGATGGATTTAGTATGTGTAAAGGAAAAAAATAGAAGACCACGACTTTGATTATGTGTCATTGTGTTTTGCCTTGGTCAATTCAATTTGAATTCACTAGTAAAAATCTGAAACTAGCACATTTATTTGTGCGTTGTAGTGATTAACCTTACTCTTGTAAAAAAAAAATTTTAATAAAATTTTAATGCAATACTTAGATCCTCATTAGTGAGAATCAACAATATATTCATCGCTCATGTGGATTAATAATAAATGAACATGTTCTATTTTAATTACTAAATCATAAATGATAATCAAATCACTATATGGACACGTACTATTTTAATTATCAAATCATGCATAGTAATTTTACCATCTATGATTTGGTAAGTGAGTTCACTATTTTTGATTTGGTATGATTTGCATTAAATTCTGTATTTTTGATTTGGTAATTAAAAATTATATGTCAATTTATTATTAGTCCACATCAGCGGTGAGTATGCTATAAATTTTTATTAGTGGTGAGAACTAAGTATTGTCCAAATTATAATTATGTATAATTCTATTTGTTGTTCCGCGTTTAGACAACAATTCTTTTAGAATAATTAATTTCAAATAACTTATTCAATCTACTTAAAATTACGTTTTCCCACCTAATAAATTTCAAAATGAATGTGAAAATTTAATGCAAAGAGGTCATTTTTTCAACAAAAGACACGCAAAAGAGCAGCAGTAATGTATTACTAAGTTTTTCACAGTTTCAAATAGATTAGCAATTTAGGAAATTATTTTGTTACGAATGTTAATTATGAAATTCAGTTGAAGAATAATAGAATATTGTTTATAAAAGTGAGCTTGTTTTTGAAGCAATAAATACTCTGCAAATGAATATAAAATTGACACCAACCAATTGCCAAATGCCGTGCACGCAACTTTCTAATTAGCTCCAGCCTTCAGTTGACTTGCAGGAATACACGGATAAAGTATGGGTCAAATTTTTGTAATAATGATAAACAAACCCCAATCATACCACCCTTACATCATTTACAATTCTTCAAGATCCTGAAACTTAGACAATTCATATTGATTTGGATCTCAATTCTCTTTTTAATTTTCAATTACATTATTCACTTTAGACTCCAATCTCAAGAGATGTAATGGTATAATTGAAGAAGATTGTACACGTCGAGTTACGGATCGAAACTTTAATTAAAATTAAAAAAATTAAGATTCAAAGTTACTTGGACAAAAGTAACCTTCAATATCAAGAGATGCAATGATATGATTAAAGAAGATTGTAAATGTAACTTTAACTAAGACTAAGAAAGTTAAGACTCAAAATTACTTGGACAGAAGTAGAAATAAACTCATATTTAAAATATGGTGAAAGAATTCTTGTTGAATTTGGATCGATTCGGGTCAAGTTGACCACTCATGCAAGAGTTGTGAATCTCATCACCACCACCACTGAGTTGCTTGGCCGCGCCCTTCGACCTAACTAGCATCACTCTTATAACAAAATACAAAATATAGTATCTCCTGTATATCTCACCTAGCATATCACCGTAAACTTTGTATCCCACTTGAGAGTATTCAATCTTTTATTTAATGTTAAATCAATCGCTAAATCAAATGAACCCTAAAAATATAGGTTATGACCCCGCAGCTGAGTCCAGGGATGATGCATACCCATCCAGCTAAGTATGTGCTAATCAGTGTAGGGCCTAATTTGGGGAAGAAAGTCAAAATCCAACCGGAAGATTCTTCTTTGGAATTAACACCAGTAAGTCGTCGTTAGAGAATAGAAATGAAAAATTGTTAAACAAATGAAATTTTGAATTATTTTAAAATAATTCAAATATCTTATTCTGTTTTTCCTCTTCATCTATTCTGTTTTGAATGTATACATTGATATTATTACTTTCCAATATATTCTATATAATAATCTCTAATTGGATCCTAAATTCATCAAATCCAATTCTAGCCATGGAGCCCCAGTGTTTGACGGATAGGTCACAGTTTTTCACAATAATGAATGAATGGGATTCAATTTAAATCGATAACAAGCAACACTGTCATGGGTGTCCATCTCTCCTAATCAGAGTCCACATCAACACCACGTTGAATGTTAAATTTGAGAGAATGATACCTTGTATGACCGAACAAGATTGATCGAAAACATCATCAAGACCAGCCAAACATCATCAAGACCAGACAGCGTTTAGGTGAACCTTTCAACTAGCACCTACGTTTCACAATCATTCAATTCACTTGATTTGTTAAATTTCAAGTACTCAATTGGATTGTTGAATTCAATTTTCCAAACATACAAATGCCCCCAAACCATTTAAGTTTCAAGGTCCACCGGGAAAAAGCTAGCCAGTATAACGGCACAACAACACACAATTTCACCCATTACAAAAACAAAAAAAAAAAAAAAAGGTATCATTTATGATACACAGAGGCTCATTCAGTCATTCTACGAATCTACATACCACACGTCAAGCCTAACAGACCATGACCAACACTAAAAATTTGTGAGGATCAGCTTCTTCAAAACATCCCATAGTCCACACACTGCCTGAAATTTAATACAGAAGACAGAAGTTTGAGACCACAAGCTTGCTTTCCTTCTTCAGCTACAACACAACAGCTAAATTAAAAAGGAAAATCACCAACCCTTCATCGCTACGGAAAATCGTCTTTGTCTACGCCAGCCGCTAGAATTTCATCGATACCAGATTCTAATTGCACAACAAGCCTACCTGTTCTGTAAAAACTAAAACTTCTACATGTTCATTATGACAAAGATCACCAGACATACAATTTCTACTGTAAGGCCATCAAAGGCAATTTGCACCCACATGAAGCCAGGTCACATTGTTTCCTCCAAACCCTTCATATAGAACTATTCTCCATCACCACCGCCAGGTCCAGCAGTGGAGCTGCTCCGCCCATCAGTTCCAGTGGTCCCTGTCTCAGGGGCATCTTGCTCGCTTCCTGCACGTACATCACTCGGAGCTGCAGCTGAAGCTGAAGGGGGGACACTACTGCTGCCACCTCCAAGCGTGGTCTCACTGTGAACAGGGTGCAGACCGTTGTTGGGCCCTCCAGGTCTCAAACCCATTTGCCCTTGGAATGCTTGTTGCTGCTGTAGTTGCAGCTGCAGCTGCTGCTGTTGCTTATCCTGCATTTGATGTGGGTTATTAAACTGTAAGGGCCCCTTTGCAGGGAAAATACCTGGTTGCTGAGCCATTGTTGCCGCCTGAGGATGCTGCATGTAAAAGCCTCCTTGTTGCATTGCAGGATGTGGAGCCATCTGCAAGTCCACACACAGATAAGAAAACAACATGCAAGCAATTGACATGTGAAATAGTTGAGTTCACAATGCACCTGAGCAGTAGGCATCACTGGTCCTTGTGGCTGGGCATCAGCAATTGCAGCTAAATACATCAAATTCTTTTGAAGCAGAGCCTGGTACCTATGTCATCAAGAATATCATGTCACGTGAACGTAAAGCACAAGACGAGTCATCCAGAATCTCATGAATAAGCTTGACAGCATCCATGTATCATATTAAATACAAACCTGACAATTCGTAACTCTTGCAGCGCTGTTCGCTAACAAAATTATAGATCAATAGCTCTATTCACAAACAAAATTCATTGATCCAGAACCTTTCATAGGGGATAACCACAGCAAAAAACCCAACTAAGGAACACTCTGAAGTTTATAATATACAAGAACCCAGCTCAAATAACATTTTCAATTCAACTCCTACATGTAAAAAAATTGTTCAAATGATAGGTATAAGCTCTTATGAGATCAGGGTAAACAGAAAAAACTTCTCACACACAATCAATCTCTTGCCCAGAAGTTACAGTATTTACTACCCAAATAGAAGAACTGATTCACTAAAACGTTACCAATTAACAACTGAAATAGTAGTTAAAATTTGAATGGCCGACTTTCCCATCAGTATGGCATCCGTATCAGATAAATGAAAGAAAGGTGTCCACCAAAATGAAGGGGAATCAACAATTTTCAGTCCCATATATATATGGGAGAATAGATGTTCGATGACCCAGAGCATTAACATTTAACAGAAATAGAAATCTTAATGGTGAGTCATCTTGCTTTGACATGAAAAAGGGTATCAAATATTAAATGATGGCATTACTTTCAATATGGCAATATGTTTAATACAGATCAAACTGAGGATTAAAAAAAAGGCATGTTAGCACTAGCAGAGAGAAAAGCAGCCACTTACTGGGCGCATTCAGCAAGTTTTCCGAGGTTCTGATTATCCAGTATTGCCAAAATCAATTTCTTGTTCTCATCGAGGTACTGCGCCATGGATCAAGAAAGAAAATTGCAAATTAGCATATAAACCATCTGAAAGACTTGATAACAGAAAGGGCCATTTTATAACCACTTAGATGATTGTCCAATCCCTAGTGAATTTTTTTTTTAAGAGCAACAGAGTGTTCCCACCCCCACTGGAGTTGTACTATTCACTTCAGATAATCCCTAGTAAACTTCAATTAAATTTATAACAAGAATATAATAATCCTTGTCTCTTTGAAAATAATCTAAGCCAAGCAACAAAAAGGGACCGAAAAATGAAATCCTAAAAATTCTTGAAATGACATCGACTTCACAAATTGTAACTAATCAGAGATAACAGCCTTAACACACTAGGAAAGCGAATACAACATCAGTCTTCTTCAGAAAGTAAGTTGCAAACACCAACTTCAAATTGTAGTATAGAGTTGACTGAAATTTCTTCTTCCTTTTAAAAAAAAGTAAATCAATTATGCAGATCTATTAGGAAGAAAAAAATTTGAAGGACCCCTTAAACGATATAAAAAACAGGCAGAACAAACAATGATAAGCACAAGAAAATATTAAACGTATTACCAGATTCATCAAATAAATCCAAGGAGACTAGGACAATCTTTACACCAAAAAGGGCATTATCCAAAACTTAATTAAAACCAACAATTAAGCTACAGCACTTTAGGACTGCTCCCTATCCATAAAATATTTATTCATGCCTGTTTACAAGACACCCATGTTTACATAACGTGACACCAGACACTTACAAAGAGTCCGCCCCTGATTACTTCAACTTTTTACAAATATATGATTATAGTGCTTTTTCTTTATAATGGAATTTCCTGTAAACTAATAACTTTGTAGCTTCTTTTGGTTCTTCAGCCCTTGCAGAGTCTCTGGGAATTGCCATTTATGATATTCCATGTCCAGAACAAAATTTAACACCTACGGCAATCAATTTAAATCATAAGGAAAATAGTTCCCTACGAATGTTATATATTCATCATATATCAATAAACGAAGTAATGTAAATGGAATACTATGGTTTTAAAACGGGGCATATCAATCTTCAAGATTTTTACAATTTCCAATACTATAAAACAAAAGGAATGTAAACATGAAGATTACAATGTCATGTGTATTTGTTACCGTGAAACATTAATATCATACAATCAGTGTATTGGAACAATCTAAAATATGGAACACTTTTAGTCTAATACATTATATTCAACCTACTTGCTTCTAATTCATTTCTTCATTTTTTACTCTGTAAGAAAAAATGGAACAGTTTTTTGCCGAAGTAGAAAGTTCTCAGGAGAAAAGATTAAATGGAACATGAAATGGTACATCGAGAGCTCAACAGATATAATTACCATTTTCTTCAGGGCTTTTACATTATTGATTCAAATACAAGTTTTTAAAAGTAAATCGACAACTCGCAAATTGATGATGTTAGCCTTCAGCATTTTTCAATGAACAAAAAAAAAAAGTGACAGAGAGACAGAGAAACTCCTCTCCAATGCCCAATCGTTGAATCACCGTTAGAATACGGAGCCTCCGCCAGAGAATTTTGTCGATTCTTTTCCCTTCCAACTGATTTCAGTTTCATGTAAATCAATAAAATTGTTGGGTTGAGAGAAAGAGAGAGAGACAGAGAAATGTGGGATTGTTAGAGGAGAAGTTGGGAGTATTGAATCTGGATTGGTTTGACCCATAAAAATGGGAATGATCCATCTTTAATTTCTTTCAACTTTTGAATAGGTGTCTAATGTTTACTCGTCCATGTAACCTAGGAACACCCAAGTATTGTCCATAATGGAATATCAGATCGGGTCAGAGGATACATAAAGACATGCTACATACAAGCATTTTTTCAAAAGAGATACATGCACATGGCCATAAATTCCAAATTGTATGGCCAAAATGCCAATTCAATTGCCTATACTACCACATCTGTGAACTACAAAATAAAGGAGAGGTGATCCCAGTAGATAATGTTACTATTTCTATAATATGATTTGACGTCAACGGACACTTTGGGTGTTTCGGGTGGTAGAAACACGACAATGACTCATAAATGCAAATTCTAGAGTTGGAACACTTGTGGTTTTAATGCCCTTTTCTTTCTCCTAAAATTTGAAAGACTGTCAAAACTGTTTTACCATTATTGGTGAATAATAAAACCAAGACTCTTATCTTTATCAATTAATACCCGTCATTATATTAGGTAAAAATGTCCCTCCATGAGGGGAATCTATATATTTGTTCCTTCAATAGTATCACCCAAAACACCATTATGAATTTATGTTTTCTCTGACAATTAGTAGCAGTATTTCATGCGAGCAACATGCAAAAGTAATTTCTCAGAAGTGTGTTGTTTAGATGATCACCCTTCGAAGGTTATAAACATGAAAAGAGTAGGAAATTAGCTCAATTTCTATAGTAGCATAGAAATTTGCAGTCAATTAATAGCTCACCAAATTAGATTGATCAAAAATATAATCAGTACTCCCTAGATAACATAAAGAAAGCCAATTAGCAGAAGATCAATAGATTCTATTGTCCAAATTAAAAAAATTAAAAAATAAAAAAATAAAGAAATCAGAGACATAGAAAGCCAAACAAGTAGTATATGAAATTATGTGTGTGTGTATTTATCTGGGTATGTACCTTTTGAATTTGCTCGGTTGTGATGTTCGTTGGTGGAAATGAAGGCATCACGGGTATCATCTGCGGTGGTTGCTGCATCTCTGCGGCTAAAACCCTAACCCTAAATCAGCAAGATCTCCCAAATTTTAGAAAAAGCCCAAAATCAATCAACGATGGAAACAGAGTTATGAAAACAAACATGAGAGAGAGAGTATTCACCGGAAAATGGGTTGTGAGATTTTGGAAGTAGTTTCGAGCAAGTGTCGTCTGGACTGTTCGACGAATAACGGGGCTAATGTACTCCAATTTTTGAAAAAAAATAACATTAAAAGAAAAGGGGTAAACTCCATTTTAACCCTTCAACTTGTACCACTACTACGACCTTTTTGCAGCCGACTAACTGGGAGTTTGCGTTTACTAAAATATTCTCACGAAGTAAAAGTCATCAATTCTCATTTGATCAATGGTGGGAATTTACTTTAAATAATTTTTTTTCTTAAATAATAATATTTTAACTTATTTTTTCTGTTCTATGCCTCACATACTTTTAATTCAAAAAAATTAAAATTAAAATTAAAATTCTTATGGATACAATTAAATGTTATTTCTTTAGCATATCCTTTTCCCTCAATTGTTTTTTCCAACCAAACAAAATGAAAAAAAAAAACTACAATTTAATTCCATTCAATTACTTTTTGTAATTAAATAGCATATGCATAGTATAAAATCAATATATGCATTGTCTAAAATAAAAAGTATAATATAAATAATATAATAATGGTATATGTAATATATAATATGACTAAACATATAAAATTTGAATTTACATTTGCACTCAAAATTATGAATTATTATTATTATTTTTTTTATGCTCTTCTTTAATTAATAAGTATATTGCTGCATGTAACAAAAAATATAAGTTTAATTATTATTATTTTTAAAAAAAATAAATACATAATTTTTAGGTAAATTCATATAATTGAGCTAACTGCATAAAATCCTATTGACTTGGTGGGAGTATTTTTGGCAAGAAGTGCAAATGTAACCCCCTCGGTTAGTTGATGAGGGTTTTTTTGGAATAAAAAGATTAAAAAGGGTTGGACTGCATAACGCAGCTTACTATAAAATAAAATAAAGAAAATGAGAGGTAAATTACTCAGAAAAATAATAATAATAAATATAAATAAAAACCGTGAAATGATATATAAATTGGCAGAGCCAATTAAGGTCTAGAGGGGTCATGTGTCCCTTGCCCTTGCTCCAACTTATTATACACAGGTACATATTTTTGCTATATACATATATTTATGTGGTAATTTTAAATAGTGCCTCCCTAAAATTTTCCAATCTCTCTAATTTCCTTTTTTTTTTTAAAAAAAAAAAAAAAAAAGGTTACATATATCCCCCTTCTTCAAGCACATCATATATTTTTCATTTTCTAATTTTTGTTTCCTTTTTCAATTTTTTTTTCCCACTTATGTATAATTATGTATCGTTTTATTTTTTCCACTTCTTTCTTTTTATCGATGACATTTGTGATTGTATTTAATTAAAAAATTATTAATCTATATTTTGATTCTTATATTTATAACTATGTATATATATTTTTACAGTATTAGCATATATTTTTACAACTCTTTTTTTTTCTTGTTTATCTTTTGATTTAAAAAAATTATATTTGTTGATTTTTTTTTTTTTCAATCAATGCATTGTGCCCCTGAAATAAAATTCTGGCTCCTCCCATGTATTTCCTTAGTTCTTTCCCTTAATATCACCTTTTTTCTTTTTCTTTTTCTTTTTTTTTTTTTGCCACTATTATTTCCCCTAGTTAAATGAAATAAATTCTTGAGTTAATTTCACCTACACCCTCTGACCTTTGACAATATCTCAGTCACACCCCCTCTACGTTTCAATATTCCACCAAACTCCCTTCTCTGTGATGGCCGTTTACTTTACTAACAGAGGATGATTTTACAATTTTACCCATCAATTATATATTAATATTTATAAAATTTTGGAGTTAAATTGAAAAGACAAAAACACCCTTATATATACCTACATAGACAAATATACATATACTACGTAAAAAACAACCACAGCTTTACACAGACACACCATTCTTCCCTTGCGTCCTCGACGGCCATCACCGTCGTCGCCGTCCACCTAGTCGAGCTCATCGGTTGCTCGTCCGCGGTGGTCAACATCGACAACACTAAAAAATTCAGCGTCAAAAACCCAAATCACATCAAGCCCAAACTGTGACCAGATCATCACCACTTTCGAGCTTCGAACGAAGATCCAACTCCGTCACCATCAACCGTCGCTCATTATAATCCAACATAGACGAAGACATCTGCAAAATCAACCGGGGTCAAATCAGAATACCAATCTGCAGAATTGATGAGGACTAGCAGAATTCGGCAAGTTCGCGCTTCAAATCGGAATACCAATCACCGGCCCAAATTCAAAACCCAATCGCCGTTCACTCAACCCAATCGTCGTTACAGAGTTCAAATTCGAATACCAAACGCATAACCCAACAGTAGTGATTCCAAGAATCGGGTGACTGGTTTGATCCTTGAGCACTTTTATGAACGAACCCCAGTGACCGCCATTTCGAAATAGACGACTTGGATGAGCATCGAATCGTTGACGGCCTCGAGAATCGCTTGATTGGCGGTGAAATTGGATAACATGATGATTGGAGAGATGTTGGAGAAGGTCTTGTAGGCTTTGATGGTTTGAATGATTTCTGAAGAAGATGAAGGGCGAGTTGACCCTGTGAGCAGAGATTGAAGAGCTTCTCGGAAGTAAAACGCAGCTCGCCGGAGTGGTTTTCCGGTGGCTGAACCACCCAGGTGTTGATTGAACCGAGCCAATATGAAGTGCCCAAGTTGTGGGTCGTTCGATTTGATGCAATCGAAGGCTCGAACAAGATCATCCACGAAATCCAACACACAATTCCACTGACCCAACTGTCGGATCGAACAAGTTTGAAGATTAAAATTAGGCGAAAACAGGGATTTGAGAGTCGGGCTGAGTCAGTTGAGGAATAGATCCCACATCGTTCAGCTAAGAACTCCAATATATATACACGTGTGTGTACAGGTCTCTGTTCTTCACTTATGGTTTATTGGGTTTTTGAGGTGAGTAAATGGTGGTGGGTATTTATATGTTGTGTGAAACCTCTGTTTCGATTTAAGTCAGTTTTAAAAAATGGCTCTCATCACTTTGCATCCACTTCACCCCGAGTCCAACCGGACTGGTAAGCCATGGCCGCCGAAAGTGTGTGTGTGTGTGTATATATATATATATATATATATGGGGTAGTTTTGCAATTCCTCATTGGTCAATGAGGTTAAAGATGTCATTTCAGTATTGAAAAGGGTAAAATTGACCTTATAAAAATTTCCTCATGCTGACATCAGTCCACACTGTTAGTTACTTAACGGTAGGGGGTAACTTAGTACACATGATCAAAGGTTAGGTGGTGTGCGTGGAATATTGAAACCTAGAGGGGTTGTCAGTGGGATATGGTCAAAGGTCAGGGGGTGTAGGTGGAATTAACCCTAAATTTTCTTTTATGCTACATTTGGTATGCAATAATGGAATGAAATGGAATGCTTGCTTTCTAAACTATTTTTTCTTTGGTATAAAAATTAAAGTGGTCATTTTCTTAAAATACAAAAGAATAAAAATTCATTTTATATCTCCACCTGGAATTGTCATTTTCTTCCCAAATGTATGTGTGTGTGTATGTGTGTGTGTATATATATAACAAATTCGATTTCGGGAAACTCTTTTTATATTCTTATAAGTCCAAAAACCACCACCACAGCCACCTCCACCTTCATTACTATTGCCTTCAACTACCATCACCACCACAACCACCTCCATTGTCGTACAACCATTTCTTTATATATATATAAGAATTTTATTTTGAAAACATAATTTATGTGATCGAGGGACATTTTGTAAAAATAAATAAAAGAGGTAACAATGTCCAAGTATGTCTATGCGAGGTGATCTAGTTTAGGGGTCCCTGATCAACGTATACCAAGGACGAAGACTAATCTACATCCTTAACAAGAAGTAAAATGAGGCTTTAACATTCTCTTCAGTATAAGCAAATTCATTACGATACTCTTGCCATGAAAAAGCTCCACTTTCAGCCATCTGCACAGCAAAAGATTCACCTTCAGCCATCTCCATACCATCTCAACTAGCCCAAACCACATTACCAACCATCTCCACACCATCTAAACCAGTCCAAACCTCCCTCACTAAAAAAAAAAAAAAAAAAACCCATCTCAAATCATCTAAAACTATTTTTCTTTCCCCAGCCAAACTCACCCCAACCATATCAGAGGAAAACTATCACAACCAGCTCCAAGTCACATTCAAATACCTTACAAACAAAAATCTACCACCCCCCATCCCATCTTCACTCTTAGGTAAACCACATGTTCACTTCCCTTCACCAACCACAAGCCTAATCCGGATATAAAATAATACTGCTACAACCACCACTAATATCCCCAAACCACCAACCAGGCTGCCACAAATCAAAACAGCATCTACACTAGCTACAAAACCTTACCTTCAAAAGTTTTTCAACCCACTTTTATACAGCTCACCAGGCTATCAAATTGAAAGATTACAAGAGCAACTTGATTGGAAAGATGAGAACCTGGGGAAAGCATTGACATGTACAAAGATCGGAAAAAAAAATTGTTTCAGAACTGAGAGCTGAACTAGCTGAAGTTAAAAGGCAAATACAACACCAAAATCCTCTATCAACTACCACAACCACTGCAGCCATCACATCCACTTCCGGCAAGGAAGATCATCACACCAAAGGCCACCACATTGAAGCTACAACAGGTCCCAGGCTGGAGATAGTACATTTAAAGTCACCACAACATTTGCCTCTACCAACCACTTCCATTCCACCATCAAATACAGTTACCACCACCACCACCACTACCACCATCCCAGCTCCTGGACAACTTGAAAAGGAGGGAGACAACTAGGTTTAAATTTGAATTTAAATTTGAATGCAAATCTAGTGGTCAATAAAGTGCAGGGTCAAACAGGCAATCTTATAACCCAAAATGGCAAAAACACAGAATGCTTTACCACCCAAACCTTATGCTTTCAGTAGAATTCCCAAAAACAATACAAACCCCTTACCCTATCAAACCTAACCAATCACATCACTGAAAAAGCTTCAACACTAACCTTACCACCACACAAAACCCAACAGACCAAAACATGGTCCCAAGTAGTCAAACAAAGCAAGAACATCACAAAGATGGACTTCGAATTTGTCTCTCCACCCATAGACTCCCCAGACATCATTGTCCCACCTGGAG